GACAGGAAAGGGGGAGAGAAAGTGAATGACATGCAGCAATGGCCAAAGGTCAAATTTGAACCCATGGCTGCTGCAAGGACTCATTCTTGGTACATTGGGTGCAAGCTCTGCCGGTTGAGCTATCGGTGCAAACCAGTAAAAGCACTTTTAAAAAAAATGTATATTTAGATGATATTGTTATATATTAAATACTTTTGTGTCAACTTTATATACAGTTATGTAGTTTAGTCTAAGATTGATCTGACTTTGAGATAATTAATGTGGCAGAAAACAAAAGCATTTTGTGGGGTATAAGTATAAAGTACCCTAGAATAAAATAAATTACCTCAATATCACTTAAATAGGCTACAGTACATGAGTAAATTTAGTGTTATTTACTTTACACCACTGCAGACCGGAAAGCTAAAATATGTTGTTATTACTGCAACTATTTCTAGTTAGACATTATTGGTTGTCATGTGTAATAATGACAATAAGTTTGATTTTGTCTTAACTTTTAATAATAAAAATTGACATTTAAACGTTCAGTGTTGTAATTACTGGCTGTAGCCACTAGAGGTGAGTGAGTACTCTGTATATACAGTTTATGTTACGCATGATGTCACCTGTCAGTCTCCACCAGCATCATAGCAGACGTGACACTGGTGGTATATACGATATTTTATTTTGAAAGTCTGGAGGACTTTCAAAATAAAATATCGTAATTAGCAGCTGATTGGTAGATTGAGGTTGCAGGTGTGCTCGGTTGCTAAGCACCGCACAGAGAACGGAGAGGAAAAGTATTTTTAGACTCCGGACGGAGTTTTATGAAGTAACGTTAATTTAACACATTCAGCTTAATGCGTTAGCAACAACGTTGGGATAGGGTCTGTTTTATACTATTAACTGCCCGTAATTGGACGGAAATGGGTCGGTTTAAGTGTCGACTCAGTCATAACAGTGGACTACCTAACAAACGAGATACACCTTTGAAAACAGCACTGAGAAGACGGGACAGTAAGAAATAAAGACACATCAGCTTTAGTGTACATTGAAAGTGATGTTTTTTTAGCCCATGGTTTATACCTTAACTTTAGTTCTGATCAGTTTAGTCACTTATTTCACTTGTAAAATTAAGTTAATCAGCATTACTTTGAATGCAGGTAAATCCATTTAGCTGCATCCATCCTTTACATTCCTTCAAAACTTTCAGAGAGCAGAAGACTTCTGCCCAACAAGCATTATGAAGCATTTCCAGAGGAACCTGAGGTGGAGGAAAATAATATCCTCACCGGCAGCTCAACAAACCCAGTTCTGGTGGGTATTCTGATTAGAGAATAGATATATGTATAAATAATGTTGACACACATGAACTTTATTCATCTTTCAAAGGGACATCTTTCTGAGATGCTAGAATTAAATTTCAAGTTGTTTGCCACAGTTTCTCACACTTTTTCTTCATCTCTCCCCATTTTCCATGCTTGTCCTTTAACAGACTAGCAATAAGCCTGCCCACTGCAAGTCTGTGTTACGCTCGGGCAGCCCTGCATTTGCTGAAAACCCCAGAGGAAAGGCTTTTTCGCCTCCTTCACCAGCTAATAAAAAATCTGGCCGCCAAATGTCACTAGCAGGTCATCCAGCTATTCAGATGACTCCTGACGCAGGGGTTCTTAAAGGTGGTGAAATGGCAGAAGAAGAGCCAAACTTTGCAACTTCGCAAAGCATCACATCTTCTAGCATGGAGTCAGACACAACTTTCAGCTCTGATGATGATGATGAGGAAGACTGTTACTCCTCTGCCTCTTCAGCTTCCAGCAGTCTTCCGTCCCCGGAAATCTTTAGAAAAGATGACTATGGTGTGTGTGACTTTTTTTGGATATCCGCAACCAGAATATATAACGTTATTAAGGCTATTTAATTCTGTAATCTCTTCTCTTCATAGTGGAAACGCTGACGTTCCCCGTTAAGGAGGAGCTGCTGGGTCCCTATCTTCACATAAAAAACTCCACCCTGCTGGATGTGAGCCACGCTGAGAGCATCCACATGCATCACCTCCCCAACCTTTCTATCATCGGTAATAGAGTGATACAATTCCATACACATTCCCCCTGTTGTTTAAGGAAACTAGGCGTTGGAAGAAATTTGGTTAGTACAGGCAATTTTGTTGAACATAAATTAAGTTAAAATAATTTTGAGGCAACCTTAATTCTAATTTTAAACTCCTTAATGAATAAAGAAATCAGGTATATTATAGATATATTAGTATAATAACTTGAGCATATCTGGCATGGCCTTTTGATTACTTAAACTTACTTGATAACTTAAAACATATAAGCAGTTGATTTCTGAAAAATACAAATAATAATATAATATTTTTAGAATAGAAAACCGTACACTGTTATTTACAATGTATTTTCAGTGGGTTTCCCACAATTGTTTAAATCCCATTTTAGAAAACTCATGTCATATTTATGAAATATTTACATTTGCAGGGACAAACTGTCCAGCTCTGTCAAGAAAAAACTGAGTGTGATATACTTTGGTTTCCAAATGATGGGGTGTATCTTAAAACAGTCTGCAATTGTCTGATATGAACTAAACCTCTGTCTGCAGATGTCTCTGCTATTCCTGCTGAAAACAACTGTGAAATCAAGTGAGTTTGTCTGTTGAATTTCTTTTGGAAAAGTCACTTAACATGCACCAGGGACCCTCACAGGGAATCAAACATGCTCACCAGAACTTGTTCAATCACTGTCTTTTCTCTTTGAAGCCCACACAGGGGACCAGAAGCTGAGACAGGTAAAGACTCAAACTGAATAATCTCATAATGAAACAAATAATAATTTGAATGTGAGTCATCCATTACCATGAACTTTTTAATGCAGCGTTTATTGCATAAAACACAAATTCTTTACAGTAAATGTTATTTTTAATCAGTAATTTTGCCTTTTTCAACCCCTCAATCTATAGACAAAGCCTTCAAGTTGAAAACGCCACCAGAAGTAAGAAAGTCAACTTGCTATCTATTACATGTAATTTAATATATCATGTGGACAATTTTATTTTTGTTTAAATCAAGTAAGAGGTATTTTGGTCATGGTCAAATTTTGTTTTTGCTCCCCAAGCTCGCCAACAGAAGGCCCATTTTGTATAAGAAGAAGGTATGGTTCAAAAGCCCCATGATTGCAGATATCTTTGAAGTGAAACACAGCCCAACCACCAAGTTAACAATTCACAATGCCAGTGAGTCAGTCCAAACATCTGAGCATGGGATACCTGACGCAGACACATCCAGAGCAGGTGAGATCAATTCCAAAGAAGAGGCATTACGACTGATGGTGAGGCTGAAAAGGCCTGTAAAAAGTAGCCCAGGAAAAGCCAAGTTCTTTGACTTTAGTGACAACAGCGACAGGGATGCATTCTTTCAAGGGATGAGAGAAAGGTGTGTTAAACTCATAAGTGCCGCTTCATTTCCTCTTGGAGCTGCTAAGTGCACAGAACCTTGTATGCAAAGATTTGAGCTTTCTCCCATAATCTAGTTTGAAGAGGTTTGAGTATGAAATATCCTGTGTAGGAGATTTCTGTGTGTACTTCAAAACAAGATGTCAAGACTTGTAAAATATGTATGAGTCTGTCTAAATGTCTAAAATACATAATTGGTTCTTTGAATACATTTTTTTTAAATGAAAATACACTTTTCAATGTACTATTTTCACTCACAGTTAAGCACCCAAACCATCTCCTGATTTCCTTTTATTTTGCATAAATGTTATGAAACAAGTATCTGTTGCAAAATGACCACTAGATGTCAGACCTGTATTTTATTAAATGGCCATCTTATCTCTTCTCCTGACAATGATTATTTTCCAGTTTTATATGTGAACTATATATGTTTGTCTTTCTTTATGTGTGTTTTATTATCTGTTTTTTGTTTTGTTTTTTTACATGTGTCAGTACCTTAAGAGTGTAATCTAAATGTTTAATGTAAGATTAAAATGTAAATTTATTGTAGTTTTTTTGCGGTATTCTGTGAGTCTCTTCATCTTTCTGCAAATGTTTTTCAGAAAAAAAATCCCAAATAAATGAATGTACAATAAATACATACATGACATGAATCATTCTTGTTGGATACAACTCTTTGTTTGTTTAGCACATCTCTGGCTTTTGCATCAAACTCTTTTTCACATGCGGGTCTTCCAAGGAGCTCCGACCCGTGTCTCGCAAGCACTTCTGCACTCGCACTTGTATGATTTCTGTGAATAAATTACATGCTGTCACGATCCCGGACAAAACATCAACACAGCGAATCCACAGACCACGTGGTACCGGGCCAAAAATACCAGCCAATCAGGGATTTTGTAGTAGCAGCAGCGCCCGGTCAGCCAATCAGAAAAATGTAGTGAGTTACCAAGCAGCTCCCGTGACTAATGCCTGTCATATGACTGTGACACCCATGGAGACAGTTACAAGGAACAAGATTTGCTCTTGGATTTGAAAAGAAAAGAGACCTTCTGTACCGACTTTGTTTTGGTACAAAATGCCTCCGACTCTCTTCCAGAAACTTTTCAACAAGAGAAATGCATTTTCGTCGCCGCCCCCGAGATGTAGCAAAGAGGACCCAGCTTTCAGGTAGCTATTACGTGTGTGTGTGTGTGTGTGTGTTTCTGGTTTGTGTGTAACGTGTTACGTGTGTAGGCTGTAACGTTATTTATTATGACTTTTTTTAAATTTTTTATTACAGCGTCTGGGTGGGTGACAAGAGTTTATTTTAATTTACTCTTTTTGTCGTGAACTCGCAGGCACTTTACACATGAACGCTGTAGACTTTCGTTCATTTTGAAATGGATGCAACAAAGTGCGGGGAGACGAGCTAACGCTAGCTAGCAGACGGCTGCTGCACACGCTGTCTCCTGTCGGGACCGACGCTTGCCTCGTTAGCCAGCACTTCTTTTCTTTCTTTCTTCTGCTCGTTTGACACAAGCATTTCAGCTCGTACGGCGACGCTAATAAAGCGCTAATAAGTTGATAATACACGCTTTCTCCCCTCCCCGACGTGTGGCATTCACAGCTAATCGGTATCATCGCTGAGAAGTTGCAGAAGCTTTCTTCTTTGTCTCCCTCGTGTCCTCCTCTGCGTTTCTGTGGTAACGGCAGTAAAGGCAACAACGAGGCAGTCCTGGCAGTACACTCACACTGGGGTTTTTTTTATTTTTTATTATCGTCTCTTATCTTGAGCTATATACCGCCGATAACATGCACGTAAGCGCAGCTGGCTTGTCTCAGTCCTGCAGCGGTACTGTACTCGTCGCCAGTGCCGTCAGACAGCAGAGGAGGACACTGTGTGCTCTGTGTGGGAGCACATGTGATCACTTCAGTGGGTCACTTGATGACAGATCCACGGCAAACCGGGCTTCAGCCTCCGTGGACAGGCTTTAGTAGGAGGGATGCACGCTGTTTTTTTTTTTTTTAAAGTGGCCGACGCGGATGTTTTTTCGTTTTATGGAAATATCATCAGATGTCAAGTGTACACCAGTGATCCCCAGCTCTAACGAAATACAGCATGCCTTGATTTAGTATTGAACACGACGCTGTGTGTGTCAACCACACAAATGCCATGATATATATCTAGTTTGCACCAGTGATGCAGATGCTCTGAGGGTATGCTTTAAGACTGAACTGGTTGCAGGCAGACAAAATAATAAAATAACTTTAAAATGCAGAATAAATGTAACAATTTAAAACGTCTGTCCTCTTTATTTTTCATCCGCAAAGCTCTCATGTCAGGCCCGTTTGAACATAATGCATCGGGCATAATTTTGATGCCACTTATGAGTGCAGTGACATGTCGTAAAGCAGCCATTGCACAATACTGACATGCTTACATTAATATTGTGTGTCTATAGCAGTAAATGTAATAAAAGTAGCTTATGTGAGGAGTTGTCTAAAAATTGTTTTTTTTATTTTGTCCATGTAGATAAAGCACATTTAATGTCCCTATATACAAGCAGTATAAGTGTGGGTTATTGAGATATTATGTGGCTAAATTCAACCTGGCTGAGTAATGCATCATTGAGGTGGCTACTAGGATACTCTATACTCCCAGAGTTGATTTGCAGTTTCCCTGTGTATGTTCTTACACACATTCTGGGTCAGGGTCAGGTCCGCCACCAAGGGGAAAGTGCTCTTTTTAGTCTTAAATACACTTGCATTGGAGAATGTTGCTCTGGGCCCGTCACGCATGGTGGATATATTTACCAAGGGAACAGAAAGCTCACCTCCTTGTGGTGCGACTTGCACTTTAGCACGTATCTCTGCCAACGCACGTTCCATGGCCATAAAGGTGCCCTATGCCCAGGGATAGAAATGCTGTGTGTGTGTGTGTGTGTGTGTGTGTGGCTGGCTGGCTTCAATCCTAGAGCAAACAGGCAGACAGCGGGCGTTCCTGTTAACTCGGTGGTCAGCTGTGTGCTTCATACCTCTGGCATGAGCTCCCCATTCATTAGGCATGCATCGCTCCGGTGGAGAGGGCAGAGCTGTGAGAAGACGAAGGCAAGGAGAAGGAGTGATGGATGGAGAGGACATCTGGGTGGTAGTAGGAATAGGCTGGGATACATAGTTTAAGATATAAGGGATTCTGGGTGAGAGGAAACTGGTGGATGAGAAGAAAGAAGAAGAGAGCATGTGAAAGATGGTGTAAAGGTGGAGGATGGGATTGGATGAGTGGATCGGTTAGAAGAGATGGAGACCCTGGTTGATGGGAGAGGGGAAACTGATGATGATAAGAGTTTGGGTAGTCGAGAATTGAACATTCACAGTATTCTGATCTTCAGCTAAGAATGAATGTTTAAATGAAAAACTGCAGCTGACCTACCTGCCTTGTGTTTGTTTGCCTCAGGACTGCTTATTGAGCAGATGTTATGAATCGAGCTGGCTTGTTACATGGTTGCAAGACTTTGAAGACACTCAGTTGAACAACACGGGTTGACCAGAATAATGCGGTCCCTAATGGAAATAATAGGAAAGAGCCTGCCCACTGGAATCAGAGCTCCCTTGAGCTTTTATTAACTAGATGTCACCTCTCATAGAATATCAGGCTGGATTTAACTTAGTAGAGTTAGACCAGTATATCACAACGGCTAGTATTTATAAGCAGACTTGTCAGTAATAGATCAGAGATGGTGTGTATCATGTCATCATAAAAAGCACTAACTAGCACTATTACATTTGTCAAGTACATTTTGTGTTTGTGT